AAGTTTTTCTCTTTCGCTATTCTTTTTCGATAGTTTGATACAACTATGCACTCTCCATAATCAAAACCTATGCCGAAAGTCCCAAATCGTACTGCATGTTCAATGCAAATTGTAATACTTCTGTTGATTCAATGTTCCTTTCAGAGAGGAAGCAGGCATACTAATCCAACCTACTGACTGAGACGTGAACATCCTCTATCGCGAGGATCAGTTCCGTGTCCACTCCCACTACACTTGTACTTACTTCTTCCGTTTACGTATCCTAATAAACATGTCAAAGTGGATTTAGCCTGAAGTGTTCTAAGATTATGACGGCCAAGTAGAAGGCGATCTTCGAGCCTCGTCCTACAGTGGTAGCAGTGCCAACGGACCTCAGAAATGGCATGAAATCCAAAAACTCGCTAGAAACTGCTAAATTTAACCTCCATCTCTAACTTCAGTTCCAGGCAACGCCCATCATCCTCTCTACTCTCCCCCATGATTTATTTTGGTTTAGGTCTCCCTCGGCATCAGCCATGTTACCAACATCGATCAATGTTGTACTTACAAAAAGTTGACGAGAACGATGAGGAGTACGTCAAGAATCTCTATCATCTGGCGAAACGGGCTTTTAGTGGCTGTCCTCCAAACATCTCGGGCATTTCAGACACACCAAATTCCAAAGTCCTCCAGAAGGCAAGCGCTTCTCATCTCCGACTAGCTTAGGTAGTGAAGTCTACTGGCAAGAGTGGAACCTTTAAAACTTGACCAAGTTGCCAAAAGATTTGATTTTCGATGGAGACGAGTTAGATGAACATGCTGTAGAGCCTTGAAAGCAGATCACATTAGGCTATTCTCCTCGATCAACACAGACAAATCCGTCAAGTGCCTCATACGATAGTTAAATATCTCATGCCCAGTATTTTTTATATGTAGATTTTCAAGGTGAATTGAGAGCAATGTAAAAAGAGTAATTTTTCTCAGTGGCAAGTTTGGTGAAAAAAAATTTTTTTTTAACGGCAAAAGTCTGCAACTAAATTATTGGAACACAACTTCACGCGATGCGCGGTGGTAAGAGGAGAGCTCTACGATGTAGTCAAACAAATACTCGTATAATTTAGTAAAATAAGATCATTCCATGAGCCGTGTTCAATATTATAGCACTCTTAGCAAAATAGCTGCCGTATTATGCGTTACATTGTGCACAATGCCTGAATATACATGTTTAAGTACTCTGAATTTATGGTTTAGTAAGGAAAAACTTTTCAAACTTTGACAATGCATCTTGCACTCTAGTTTATTTTAAACTAACAAATCCACAAGTTTGGCAGAGAAAAAGGGGAAACCTACAGTAAAATAAAGTCTCTCCACCCAAATACATACATGTAATGTTACGGCTGATATCCAATTTTGTGAGAAACCACATTTAGCTTTTGATTTGGCCATTCTGCCACGCCCTGTAGGCTGGCTTTGGAGCCACGGCAGTAGCCCATGTACCTTCCTAATGTTAAATATATGTATTCTGCTAGTGCATTGTATCAACTTTCGTCTTCAATGAAGTCCCGCAGTGCTACATAAAAACCCCAGTGAAATCAAGTTCATCTTCCTGATAATGCAACAGTAGTTGTGCCACATCAGTTACAGCGACGAATCGAGCTTGTATTTAGAGTCTAGCGATTGGCAAAGCTGTACTGGAAATCGTTGCCTTTAAACAAACTGGAAAATGTAAAGGGAAACTGCAATTGAGAAACAGAACTGATTTTCCTTTGATTACGTATTAGAGGCGACCAAACACCCACCACTAGTCTACTGCTTGGATGCTTCGTTGCTGTCTCAAAGTGCCCATGGCAGTGACTCCCTCCTACACATTTGAATATGTTCCAGACCCGTAAAGATGTGGCACTAGGCAAGAGTGGGCAGTTTCAGTTTCCTTCATATGTCGTTAGCAGTGACTACACTCTCCATTCGTTTTGCACATGTTTTGCAAAAAATGTAAATATTCTCAGAGACAACAACTGTTTACCCTTGAACTTAAATTGGTATGCTCTATTATTATGAACTGAAAACTCCTCCTTACACCTTAATCCTAAGTTCAGAAAACCATCGCGACGAAAAATGACAAGTAAATTCCATCCAACAGAGCGCAAATTGTTTCGTTTCGTTTATGGCCAACTTGTAAACAAGAAATGCAGGAAAGTACATACTGGGAATTAGGGGAGAAAGGGGTAATAAGGGAGCCGGAGAATTTTGCGAGAAAGTATTGCTCTGGAAAGTATGGAGAATGTTCTAAAATGGGCCTCGTATTTTACCAAAATTGAATAAGGAATGGCGGATCTTCCTTATTGTTGATTTAGGCATTTAGGTCTGCCCTATACGGTCACTTAGCATTGCCATGACGGCGCTATCAAATATGGTAACAGAAAACTTATTTTCGTTGTTTCCCCCAATTCCTCAAACAGATTATTGATAAATGACATGATATGACGGCATTATCCACAACTCCAAGCAGTTCTTTCAATGACTTCGCAGTTGCGAGACTTTAAATAGCCTGCAGTACTCCACAAGAATAAATCCACTCTGACACTTTGCGTGGGTACTCAGAGGGCGAAATATACATCACCTTCAATTTTCAAATAAGTGTTTGCCTGATTTGTAAGCAACCTCGTTATCAGCGCAGAGGTACGGCACGATATTGGTGAGGGAGACAGAGCGAGGGAATTATTGCTGCAGAAGGAGCATTATAACTTCCGAGCCATCAGCGTAATGATTACACTGCGAGACACTGCAAGGGAATGCAGTCTAAATTACTCTTCGCATAACGATGCATCCATTAGTTACATGACCTCCTTATCATTCCTTTCCTTTTCTTTTTCCAGCACAAACTTCTGCAAACCAATTGGATGGGAAGTAATTTGTGCTCAGGTACGGAAGTCTTTTCTCACTACTTCGTTGACACGCAAATTGCACATGGCAGCCATAACAGGGGGAGAGGTGTAAAGGCACAATTTGCAGTACCCTATTTGATGCCTTATTTTGCCTCTAACAGGCAGACACCATCCCCGCTGCAGACTTGACAATTTGTTTCGGGGTTCCCTTTGTCCTCTTCTTCTCCCTCTCCTCCATCTTCATCCTCTTCTTTATTTCTGGGCATTATGTGCATCATCATCGATCCCATCGCTTCATTAGGCAATGATTGCAGGCAACTTGTTCAACATTCTAACATGAAAACCTGCGGAAGTTGCGTTTTTGCAAATGTTTGGATATTTTGCAGGTTCAAATAACCACATATGGCAATGCCACTGCACCATCAGCCAACATTCTCCTTCCCTCGTAGATAACTGGCCAAATCGTGCCTAAACGCGTCAGAAAGACATAATAGAGTAAAGGCGATTTTAGCTTTTACCTTTCATGCATCTGTGACCTGATGCGTGTTTTCGCCTCTGTCGAATTTTCCTCAATCCTTTTCAAATCGCGCCAACGTATCTGTTGGGTTTGTTGATTAGTACGTTTTGATAAAAAGAATATGGGGGTGTATGTGTTTTGCAAATGGCTAATTCAGTTGCCTCTCTCGGATCTTAATGGTGCACAATTTAGCACGGCATTTACTTAAATTGGGTCGTGATGGCGATTCGCTCGATCTTTGCACCTTTTGAGTAACAATGAGAAGAAACGGGGCCTCTTTCCTTGAATACGATAGTTGCGAGGAGTTGGTAGCTGTCCACGATCGACGAAGTCCTCCACACTTGTGCTGCCCATTCCATCATCTATGCTTAGGAATGAGATAGTAGTGTCACTGCTGGTGGCAGTGTACCGAAAACCGGATGTTAGCTTAACTACCTAGCACCCTCTCGATCCCTGCCACGACGGTAGAGGCATTTGTGCAGACTGCTCTAATTGCATGCAAAGATACGCCAAGAGTGGATAGTCCTGTTCTTCATCTTGGTGATGTCCTTGGAGTCTATCTATTTACTTCATTGTTCTTCGTGGTATCAGTTTTGCCTTTCTTTTAACCGGTAAGGCGGTCACTCGCTGTTTCTGCGTCTTTGGAAGTGCGCGGCACTCTGAACGGAATGCATTGCAATGACTGCCAAGTGTCTTGTAGTTGATAGTGGCGTCTGGCAAGGAGGGCGACCATGGAGCGGTTATTCTCTTAGGAGGTACGTCCAACTGTGGGGAGCTGTGGGTGAACCTGTGGCTTGTGGATGTTACATTAGCTATTGCTGCACGCCTTGGTTGACGAGTATAAATAGTAATGTGGTGGCAACTTTATGTGCTTGCGGGCTTTCGCGTATGCAAGGCTGCGGGTGTGGTGGTGGTTTTGGACGTAACGACGGTAGTGGTCTCTAAGGCAGAGCCTTTGGAGCACCACTGGCTGTAGAATTCATCCTGGACAGTCCCACTCGACCGCTAATGCTGAGGAAAAACTCGAGCTTAGAAATAAGAGTGATGACAATGGAGGTCCGTTTTGACGTGGCCAGGGATCCTGATGTCTTTGGAGAGGGGACAATACGGCTAAAGTCCTTCTTTCCAGTGTTACACTGCTTGTGAATGTAGCCCCGTAGTTTTGCGGCATTTACATCCGCAGCACCTGCATTCACACGATTTCCTCTGCCGCTGCCGCTTACACATCTATTGCTTGCAATCATCTCTTCACAGCACAACTGCATCGCGTTGTGATGTCTGGACGATGCTCTGCAAATGTGATTACATGGACCGATAATCTGCACGTGACCTTTATACCGTCCATGGGGAGCAACAAATTGTGGTCAGATAATTCAA